TCTACACAGGGAGCTACAGGCCAGCCTGCTCTACACAGTGAGTTATAGCCAACCAGGGCCACACAAGACCTTGTCAACAAACAAACAGTATGAAAGCGTTTGGAGACATGCTTCTGATACTAACAAACTATTTCATACAGATCTCAGGTTCGTGTGTGTCCAACTCCATGCTGGCTGCTAGTGAATAGCACTAAGGCAGGCCGTCTATTCCCCCCCACACACACACACACCTTCGCCCCACCAGGCGCATCCTCTCTCACTCACTCAGGGAGGACCACAGGCTCCAGGACCAGTTTAGCAAGGTTCTGTTGACCTTGTTGAACCTTATTACGTAGGGTAGGGTCGGGGTCAGCAAACTTCCTCTCAAAGGCCAGATAGTCCATATCTAATTCCGCCTCTGCAGGGCAAAATTAGCCAGAGACAGCACAGCAATACCCGAGACGGGCTGTGCTCTGGTGAAGCTTTGTTTTCAAAAAGCACGTGACAGTCCCAGTTTGGCCTGTGGGTGTAAAAACCCTGATCTGTGGAGACCTTCCATGAAGACCAGTGGCCAGCCAACTACATGGAGATCCCTGCCCATTACAAACAGAAGCCTTGAAGTCTTTAGTTATGAGCTAGTTCAGAACACTCTCCACGATCCCTTGCAGGGCTTGTTACTGGTTGGACAAAGAGAGGGCTTGTCTGCAGCACCAAAGTTCTTTCCAGTTCTGTCCCCAGGAGGCAGCTCAGTCCGGGCACTACCCAATTAAGCACCTGCTTTATTATGCAACATACCTGGCGAGTCTGATTTCTCATGAATATTTTTTTCCTTTTTAGGTCTGTTTTCTCAACCTGTCAGCTTTAATGGGCTCCGGAAATACCCCCTTCTCTTCAACGTGTCCATCCCGCACCACGAAGAGGTCATCATGGCTGAACTCAGGTTATACACGCTGGTGCAAAGGGATCGTATGATGTATGACGGTGTGGACCGTAAGATCACCATTTTCGAAGTCCTCGAGAGTGTTGAGGGGAACGAGGATGAAAGGAGCATGGTGGTCTTAGTGTCAACCGAGATCTACGGGATCAACAGTGAATGGGAGGCGTTCGACGTCACGGACGCCACCAGGCGTTGGCAAAAGTCAGGCCCGTCGACCCATCAGCTGGAGATCCACATCGAGAGCCGACAAAACCAAGCTGAGGACACGGGAAGGGGACAACTGGAAATCGACGTCAGTGCCCAGAATAAGCACGACCCTTTGCTCGTTGTGTTTTCCGATGACCAAAGCAACGACAGGGAGAAGAAAGACGAGCTGGACACGATGATCTCTCACGAGCAGGATCTGGACCTGGACACGGATGGCTTCTCCAGGGGCCCTGACGAAGAGGCCTTGCTGCAGATGAGGTCGAACATGATCGACGACTCTACCGCTCGCATCAGAAGGAACGCCAAGGGCAACTACTGCAAGAAGACCTCACTCTACATCGATTTCAAGGAGATTGGCTGGGATTCCTGGATCATCGCGCCGCCTGGGTACGAAGCCTATGAGTGCCGCGGCGTCTGTAACTACCCCCTGGCCGAGCACCTCACACCCACAAAACATGCGATTATCCAGGCCTTAGTCCACCTCAAGAATTCCCAGAAAGCGTCCAAAGCCTGTTGTGTGCCCACGAAGCTGGATCCCATCTCCATCCTCTATTTAGATAAAGGTGTCGTCACCTACAAATTTAAATATGAAGGAATGGCTGTGTCTGAATGTGGCTGTAGATAGAAGAGGAGTCTCATGGCTTATTTAATAACTGTAGATGTGTATATTTTGTGTTCTATTTAAATGAAACTATTTAATGAAGGTGTACAGATAATAGAGGTTGCCACCCTAGGGAAGCGGACAGGTCAGTGTGCTGTAGAAAATCTGTATTTTGCTATACCATCCAGTCCCTTCCATTTATCTTCTCCGGACTCTCATTTCCCAGTGACACCATCTCTAACAACAAAATGCAGGCCCGTACCACGTACCCTCTTTGTCAGTTTGGAAAGCACAGCCCCTAAAGGGAAAGAGTGTCAGCGCACAGATATTTGTGCAGGTTTGTGCAGGTGCACACGGACTTAAGAAAATCTTTTTGTCCAACAGAGGCAGACGAGACTCATACCTGTGAGAGACTTCCTCCAGAATGTCTGTATTATAGGATATGGGATTGAGGGTAAGAGAGTTCCTATCAGGAGTTTAGCCGTCTAGAGAAGCATATTTTCCAACTGTTCTGGGAGTGTGGATGCAATTCCTTTCCATTGCAGCTGCCATGGCTCAGAGCAGCAGACTTGAGGAACAGTCTGCAGGCTCAAGAGGTGGGTGGGGTTGCCAGATACACAGAACAAATGGCCTTGACAGGCGACACCCTTGCAAAGAATGGGCCCCTGGGCTGTGCTCTCCAGAGGGCGGGGCCTAGGCCGGAAGGCTGGGGGTGGGGGGACTTCAGGACTGACTCCCCTTCAGTCAACAGGAGGCAAAGCTACTGCTGCAGAGGTCCACAGAGGTGGGGGAGGGACAAAGGGAAAAGGGCACAGGTGTCCTCAGGCATGATGGTAAAAATCGTCAAAATTCTAATGGGATAACTAAATCATTTTGGACAAAATAAAATGAGCCAAGACTAAAAGAACTCTCAGAAGGGAGCTATTTTGTGGACTTTGAAAACATCTTCATCTCGTGCCGCCCCTCTCTGGCTGGCACCCTCTGCTTTCTCTGTCATCTTCTTCCTTTTGTTTAACTTCCCGCCCATCCTGCCTCTTGTTTTCTCGTGTTTCTCTCCCTTCACCACCCACAACAAGGGCTGGGAGGCGGCATCTGAAAATATTTCACTCAGTTAGGGATTTGAGTTCAAGACTTCTGGAAATTTCCCTTGATTGGATTGTAGCTATATCCTTTATGCTATGTTTTTCATGAAGAACCCAAGCCCATGAATTAGTAGACTCAGAAGAAGGTGGCTCAAATCCTGAGCTTCAACTCTGAAATCTTGGAAGGAAGTCTGTAGCATTCCCATTCTTCCCACTCTGCCCTCCTTCTGGTTTGAAATCATTGTTTACCATCCGGAGAGTTGAAAGGACACGGAGACTCTGGCTCTGGTTCTACAGCTCCCTGCTAGGGTCCCAGATTCTGTTCAGGAGGAGCTAGAGCAGGCAGGTGCAGTCACCCCAGCATCAGCAGACAGGCAACACAATGTTGCACAAGAGAATCAGAAATGTGTCTTTCAGTACATCACCCACCTCTACCCTATTGGTTATAGATACTAATTTCGGGCCAGCTATCAGCTTCCTTTCCATAAGCTTCTTAGAGTTATATGTTCAGATTGTTCTCTCAAGGACAGGTATTTTCTGAATTTGAACTTCAACTCCATATATCTAGTCGATCAAAAGGCAAATCTCAGAGAGGTTGTTGCCCTGGAAGAGGAATATTTTGGTCATAAGTGGGAACACAGTGAGGGACATTGTGTTGGCTGAGATGGATGTTCAATTAAGAAGTATACATGTTAGCCTCTTTCTCACATAGTGTGTCTGAGCACACGCATAAGTCTGTATACATGGTAGCTGGCATTGGCTAGCCATGTCAGCATCCTCTGAGGAAATGATACAGCCTTCATACTCTATGGTACACCACACATACTCAAACTCCACGGTACTACCGGTCCTTCTTTCTCAAGGACACTGTAATAGACATATAATAAAATCTCAGCTTGGCAGGAATAGTTTCTTCTAAGTTCTAGTCGTGGCTCCACAACCAGCCCAGGGCAGGCAGAAGCTCAGCTTTGTAATTTCCATAGTTTAGACGTGTCATGTGATGTCAAACGACTCGGAAACTCCGGGAAAAGATGACAGCCACATCTGTGGAAGTGCAGGCTTTCTGGCCACAGAACTCCACTGACATTAACATCTGATATCAGAGGTGTCAGCTCTTGTATCCGCCATGTCCACGGCTGCTCGCCCAGTCAGCTCCTGAAGAGACTTAACTGAGCTGTTGAAGAGAGGTGACAGCTGAGGCTGCCTGTGTATCCCACAGGCTGCCCCGCTGACTGGAGAGCAGACACCAGCTGGGGCTTTGCATGGTGGTCTTCCTGTGGCAAGGCGTGCAGATAGTCACATAGCGGATATTCAAGTGTGGCTGTTTTCATTATTGTCATGATTTTTGCTGCCTTATCAAAAGCGAAATGACAAAAGCCATATATAGAAGCATTCTTCTCCCTTCTGACAGCTGCCTGCAGCCCGTCTCATTCACTGCCTTACTCTGAAGCCACAGAATGGGTGGGTCCTCAGGAAATTAAAACTTAGAGATACATTTCTGTGATGACAGATCTTCCACTATGGCCAGCCCAAACCAGACTTGCTTTATTTTTATTACTTCTGCTTGATGGCAAAAGCTGACAAACCTCACAACTCTTGAGGGAAACGCTAGCAGGGCGCTCGGGCAGCCCGCCCCCAGCATGGGCGTGTCAGAGTTTCTAGGCTTCTTACTATTTATTGATTAATATATTTATTTTTGTAATATAGTGTAGAATATGAAATATTTTATTTTTATGTGTGTGACTCCCTGTTGGACAGAATAGCCTCCTCTGCAGTCCACGGTGTACTCTTTCTGAGGGTGTCGCTCAATTAGAATACACACACGTATGTCTGCCTCTGCTTTTGGCCTCAAGCTGTTATTTTTAGGGATACGGCCATAGCTTTGCGTTTTTGTGTCTTGTGGGAAAACTGTGAGCCCCTCTCTGCATCCGCCAACTTGTAAATAGCAGCGTTTATACTGAAGTACAGGCGTTTCTGAACGTCAACAAATGGTGTACCCATCCCCTAAGTCAACCTGATCACATCATCCTGAGAGAGAAACATGGTCAGCCATAAGCAAATGATTGCTCTCCATTCACTGAAGTGGCATTTGATTGGACCCCCTAAAATGGGGCCTCTTTTTCTGAAAATGTTCATCGTCTTCCTGATCTGGTAACTCAGACACCCAGTTGTACCAAGAAAGTTAAGGGTACTAACATAGTTCCTCGGAGTCCACCTCCAGGCGTGCTACCCTTTTCCAGTGTGAGACTTTAAGTCTGAGAATTTCATGATGAATACTGTAAAAAATAATCGCTAGAATTTTTATCATCTTTTTTTTATAATTTATATTCTTCCAGTGAATGATATATTCATATGAAGGAATTTATATCTCAAATTTTTACCAAGTTAGTAAAGTGTAGCAGTGTTCAGGCAAAATCCTTTGCCATTTATTGGCAGTGCAGTGTGTCTCCCCCTCAGTGAGCCCCACGCCATCCCACTTACCCCTCCACAAGTTCATGTGTGGTGGAAAAGGAACACTGGCTTTCTGTATGTGTTTTCTTGTTTCCAAAGACATCTGATTTTACAAATTTAGTGAAAGGGAGAGCAATCCCTGTACCATACCAACACAAAAAAGAACATTTCCACACACAGAAACGTAGCTATATGGAAATACCACGTGGAGATGATCATTTGTGGTAATCTGTTCATTTCTGTCACACATGCACACTGGTGTTTGTGAGTTACTAACCTAATTGCAGTGGGGGGTTGATGTTAGTTCTTACCCTGCAGGTTCAGAGGCATCCAGGAAATTAGTTGATACCTGGACACGCCAAATCAGCTAAGCACAGCCAAGTTCTTTGGTAAAGCAAGTTCATCATTCATGTCTAGATCTTCTAGAAGTTAGACCGAAAGGAAGATGGAAAATAGATATTTTACACTCTGTTCATTAAACAAGCGTGTACATTAAAGTCATCGTGTTAAATAAAATGGAAAAGTTATTTTGACAATAATCTTTGGCAGTTTATTTTTTTGAAGGTGCGATCTCTCCCTCTTTTCTACTCTCATCTTTTACTATTTCCACATCACAGTGCTTTCAGATGGAATAAAACTTCTTGCTTAATCAGCAGAAAATGATTTAAAGAGTCAATAAAAAAGCTGCACTGAGTTTCTGCTTTTATATATTCTTCTCATCCTATCTGATTTTTGTAAACCCCAGAAACACTAGCAACAGGTAAGGAAAATGAATTGGCTCCTCTTTGCTCATAACTGGAAAACATTTCTTTAAATCCTGATTTATTACATTAAAGAACAATCAATTTGGAAAATATTCAGGCTACATTTGGTTGCTTCTTCATTACTGCACGTCACATGACCCCAATTTTAAAGGGGGGTGCTTAAAGCTGCCTAATGGGTCCTATTCTTTAGAAAGGCATCAAAATGCACCCCAATTCTCTGCAGATATTAGACAAGGGTATCCTGACTTCTTAGGGACCTCTCCTGTGCTCGGTTTAGCAGATAGTTTGGGTGACTATGTGGGAAAGTCACCGGGAAAGCACAGAGAATCTTTAGAGCCCCAGGAGATGCACAGCAAACATCTGGACATGTGAGCCATGTGGCTCCCTGCTATGCACGGGAGCAGGAGAACAGACAGGGCATGCTCTGGGAGGAAGTTCATTCTCACGGCATGCAGGGCTGCAAGGGCAGGGAGACAGTCTGTGGGAGAACTGGAGAAGACAGTTCCTCCCGTAAGACCTTCTGCCTCTCTCGAGTGGGCTCAACACCCTGGCTGGCAGGATTCATCTGGCCCTTGCTTGTCCTTGGATGAGCTCTGACAAGGGGAGACAGAGTTCAGTCCTGGAGAAGAGAGAGCAGAGTCTCCTCAAGGACATCAGCCAGGCCTAGACTAAGGGGTTAGGGAAGCCATTCTCCTGTCACAGCTTTGAGTCCTTAAGCAACCTATCCATTCTTCGGTAAATAATGCCTTTTATAGATGCCGCTCATGACATGGGGCCTGGAGCTTTTCTCCACATGTGACCTGACCTGTGATTGGCTACTTAATTCTGGGTGTCTTTTTCTTTTTCTTTTACTGAGGCAACTGGGATGCACTGAGTTGAACAAAGAGGCAAGTCATTTTAGGAGGAAGTTTATAATGAAGTGTGAGAAAGTTATGTTCAGGGCTGTGTGTGTGTGTGTGTGTGGTGTGTGTGTATTTAACATGTTACAATTCTAAGAATGAGCTTGTATGAACTGATCTTGGTGGTGTCGAGAGAATAAGACGCGGGACCCCGGCATGTGACTCTGGTCACATGGACAAGGGCCTACTTTTGCACTGAAGTGGCTCTTTGTAAATGAGGGGTATATTTGGAGGTGAGAGCTTGTTAACTTGGCGGTTATAAATGGATTATGTGATTATCTTGGACTCTCGCTCCTCAGCTGTTGGCTTAAAGAAATTGCTCCTGCCTCTCTTGCCCTTCCTCAGTCCATCCACACAGCCCTCCAGTGTCTCATCCACCCTGGGGAAGCTGGGAAATGCACAGACACACAGTCCGTTTTCACACTGGGATGAGATTCTTCGAGTCTGACAACAGTTTAGACCACTTAGCTGACGTGAAGGCTTTCTGAGAGGAGGCAGAAACAGGGCTATCGCATGCGTCAAGAAAGACTTGGCAGAGCCGTTTCACATGCAGGATGCTGGCTGGTTTCCTTGCTGGCCAGGGATGGTTTCAACAAGCCTAACCTCTAATTAGAATCCTTACCTAAACGTATAACAATCTGATTAATTATGAGGAAATATCAGAGGAGCCGTGTGAAGAACATTATGCAAAAACGCAAAACAGACATTCTGTTTAAAGATAAAAGTTAAATAAAAAAAAAAGAAAGAAAAAGAAAAGGTAAACCAGGACTGAGGCGCTGTGAGGGGTTAGAAGAGATTAAAGTGCTCTGGCGGTACCAAGCGTGCTGCTGGAGTGGAACCCAGAACTTTCTGAAAGGGCAGAAAGGACATTTTCTTGTTGTTAGTTCTCTGCTACTTGGTGACATGCCCGACTTCATCAATTACACCCTCTCAATGGACGCTTATCTTTACAAATCTCCAATGCGATTGCACTTTCTCGAAGTGAGGAGGAGCTGTGCAGCAGGCAGGACTAGAGTCTCTTTGTTTACTGTGACGTGTAATGTATGCACGTGGGATCTCTGCCCTGTGGGCAAACTCGCTGGAAGAGTGGGACAGGGAAGCGTGGAAAACCTGATGTCTAAAGTGAGCCAGAAGACATTTTCCTGATATAGCCAAGTTCAACCCTCTATTCCCCGAAAGGAAGCATGCTTTTTAGGCAAGAGACCATCTGTTCCAAGTGTTTAGAGAACACTCTCCAATCCCTGGGAATTTAAACTTCCTTACACCCAGTTCAGTGTTTGATAAGGAAAGGGCGCTAACAGGATGGGAACGGAGTTACTATATTAAGAAATCCAGGCGGAACAGAAACCAGCCCCCGAAGTTATTTTGTTTATGCTCCATCTGTTTTAATTAACATAATATTTACGAGAGGCTGGTTTCTGCTTTGTTTTTTTGCTGCAACCATCATATGTTTTATTATTTCCTTCTTTCTTTTTTGAAGTTTTGCAAAAATGCAATCGCAAAGCGTGTGAGGTTGAGACACGGATTCAAAGCACAGCGGTCTAGCTCCCAGGGCCCCCTCTCAGCACAGCGTAAGGTCAGACATCAGTGCTCAGGCTGGTCAGTGAAACGTCAACCTAAGATAAATAATACGATTTTACTATAAACATTTCTCAACTATTGTACAAGGCGTACTTATTCTAAAAGTCGTCAGAGTTTACCTCAAGTTCAGATTTAATTGCACGTTTTTATTTGTGGAATCTGGCAGCCCGTCCGTGATGGCTAAGAAGGTTACAGGGGTGGAAGAGGTTTGCCTGCTCACTTCTGAAGGGGCGCTTCAGAGGACCTGCAGTCAGGGCTCGTGGCTGAAGAAGAGATCCTGCTTGATCCCCACACCGCAAACCACAGGAGTTCCTCACACCTTGTCAGGTTCTCTCAGGTCGTCGGTCCAAACCTCTGCCTCCTTAGTGAACGCTTTGGAAACTCGTAGGCCCGTGACCTGAGAGCTGAGTGTTGACCTCTGAAATAGCAGCCCTGATTCTTGCGTACTGACGTCCAATCTTGCCTGTAAGAGTCCCTCATTGTTGCTACCATTGCAGTGTGACAGGCCACACCCAGGAAGCGCTTTAGATGATGACCGTTACTCCTGCTCTTAATTCTTGGGCTGACTCAGTTTTGAGGGGACTTTTCGAAGATGTCCTTGGTCCGATGGTGGCAGGTATACCATCAAGGCACCTAGGATAGAGCCTTGTAGCTTTCCATTTTCTCTCCCCACGTTCTCCCCACAAGGCCACCTTGGGGCAGCTGAAAGGTTCCCCGAGTGCATGTTCTGCCTCAAAAGTGCAGTGCCCCCTTTTCAAGGTTCTTTGGGGGCAAATGTGAGTCCTTGAGCCAGTGCAGACTCATGGGAGCGATGGCAGCTCTGCCCCCTTCTGGCAGGCACACTGGTCACATTGTGAGTTCCTTGCTATGACTGAGCTTAAAGAGAGACCAAAGGTCTCTCCATTTTTCCACCAGTCCAGGTCACAGACTTCATCTAACCCCAGATCTCCTGGTTTGATCTTCAACTTAAATCCTTCAGGTCTCTTCTCTTTTCGAACACGGAGACCTCTCCTTAAAGCAACTCTCATTATATTTGCCCTACCCAGCCCCATTATAGCAGTCAGCTAAGTGAATTCAGATTCGTTAGATGGGAATTAACAGTTACTAAAGCCAACTTTTATAGAATATTTGTAGGCGTGGAGAATATTTTCTAATAGCATAACAGTTTTCCTAAAGTCAAATCATTGCTGGTTTTTAAATACTTGGAAATTGAAAATACCTTAACAGTACATTCAAGCCAGAGATATAGAGCCCTTCAGGTGCCCCCACCACCTTCTTTTGTATATTTTAAATCCATATTTATCATTCTTCCTTTTGGACTGCATGGTAACACCAATAATAAGCATAACTTATGTGAAGTTACCTTGACAATCAACAGAAGTATTATCCTAACACTAAATTTCCCAGCATCTGAGGACTCAGCATCATGCAAACAGTCAATAGCAAGGTAGGAGAAAGGATAGGTGGGGCTGGCAGGCAGAAAGAACAAATAGAAGGAGAAAAAGAGAAGAGGAGGAGGGCAAAGAGGAGAGGAGGACATTAGGGGTCAGCTACCCAGCTACGCAACCAGCCACAGAGTAAGAAGTAAAGAACCATATACAGAATAGAGAAACGTAAAAGCCCAGAAGCAAAAGGAAGATGGGCTAATTTAAGTTAAGGAAAACTCACTAGAAACAAGCCAAGCTAAGGCCGGGCATTCATAAGCAAGAATAATAATCTGTGTGATTTTTGAAAGCTGGGTGGTAAGCACCAAAGAACAAAGAGGGAGAAATAAAACCAACTACAAGATACCTTATTTTCTGAGGAGGCATAAAACAAAGAACTCCAGAACTTTCGTGAGCATGCTTCAACAAATACCAGGTATTAACAAATAAATCCAGCCAAATATTGTTCTGTTTTAAGTAGGAGTCACATGGTGTGGTTGAATGCCATTTGCTTGAGGAGATGCAAAGCGAAAAGCAAAGTGCTTTTGAGACAGCCCAGGACGCGGTGTTGAAAATCTGTGTGCAGAGAAAGCAAAGACTGAAGGCTGTGTGTCCCCCGGTTCGTACAGTAACCAAGTCCCATGATCTGTCACCTTTGGTTTGTTGTGGTTCGCCATGACAACTTCTTATCTCTGATAGATGCTTTGGGATCCAGCGCTGACACTTGAGGAAGTGGCGCTACTTGACCAACCTGACGAATGAAGACTGGATATGAAAAGTCAGCCGCGGAGTAACAGAATTCTGTAGGGCAGATACCGTGTGTGCTTTGTAACCAGAGTTTCCAAGGCCATCCAAGTGATACCAAAATAAGGCATTGATGGAAATCTGATTACTCCAAAGTTCCAATATTACCAATTAGAGGCAATTAATCAGCCACCTACAGTGGTATGTAGTTAATCAGTGACCTGCAGCTGACCCAAATGCATCAAAGTTCTCACTTTGAATATGACACAGAATCTTAAAATCAGAGGTTGGAGGGTGGAACTCGAGGCCACTGGCTAACTCCTGCTCCCCAGTGACTCGCTCCGACCAACATGAGGTCCTCGTGCCGAACCGGACATGTCTCTGCTGCTCTGAGACTGCATGCCTGTCTTCCTCCCAGCTTTTGCTCCTTCTTGGACCATCAAAGGATCCAGGAATCTGTGGATTGTCAGAAGAGGCAACCCCAGGAGCCAGGCAGCCAGAAGCAGTGAAGAAGCCTGCTCTCCAGAGGCGGTAGGCCTGTGGAGAGCACAGGTGTGAAACTCAGCCAAACACCAAGATCTAAAGGAGAAACAGAGGATTTAAAAATTGAGACATTTTTAATCCGATTTCAGGAAGTAGAATTCTACAATGGACAGGAGCACACATCTGAGAGTTCAGTTCAAATTTCTAGTCTTCCTTTCCCTCCTGGCCTGGGGTGAGCTCTGGGAGAGCCCGCACCCTCCTGACTTACCACAGCCGTTCACGCTACCTCTTAGCCATCTATCAAACTGCATGGTTTCTTCTTTCCCCAGGTTTTAAACTATGATAAAGCACACCTGACTGAATTTGCTATCCTAATCAATTGTAGGTGTGCGGCCAATGATGCTAAATACAGGCATAGAGGGAAACCATCACCACTGTCCTCAATGTCTTCACTGATCTTGTGAGACAAATTATATACTCATTAGGTGATAGCTCTTCAGTTTCTGTTTTACCCCACCCCTGTAACCCACCATTCTGCTTCCTGACACTGAAGTTTGATTATTCTGCTCTGTGTGTGTGTGTGTGTGTGTGTGTGTGTGTGTGTGTGTGCGTACATGTGTGCACTTGCATATGGAGGCCAAAGATAGAGGTTGGGTGTCTCCCCTTGATTGCACCTAATAGCGCCACTCCGTACACGCCTATGGGGCCATTTTCATTCAAACCACTGCAAGCTATAATGGCGTTTGTTTGTTTTTTCATTTCTGTCAACAGTGCACAATATTCTCTCTGTAAATATATAAAAATATATTCTTTTATTTTTAAGATCATAATAACCCTAGTAATCTAAAGAAAAATCTCACTGTTTTGATATGTATTTCGTCTTAGTTCCTTTCACTTTCTTGCAAACAGTGTAACTTCATTCTTCTCTGAGGCTGAGGGTCTTAGCTAGGGTCACCATTGCTGTGATGAAACACCATGACCAAGACACCCTGGTGAGGAAAGGTTTTATTTCAACTCTTAATTCCCAATGACAGCCCATCACTGAGGGAAGTCAAGGCAGGAATTCAAACAGAGCAGGAACCTGGATGCAGGAGCTGATGCAGATGCCATGAAGGAATGTTGTTTACTGGCTTGTACCTCGTGGCTTGTTCAGCCTGCTTTCTTATGGAACTCAGGCCCACCAGCCCAGGGATGGCACCACTCACCATGTCCTGGGCCCATCCCTATCTGTCACTAATTAAGAAACTGCCTTCAGTTGGATCTTTTTCTTTCTTTTAAAATTTAACTTCTTTATTGATTCTTTGGGAGTTTCACATCATGCACCCCCATTCTTCTCACCTCCCAGTCCCTCCATATCCTCCCCTCATCCCTTTTGTGTCCCCCACAACAAAACAAAACAAACTAAGCAAGCCGCAAACAAAAGCAAAAAACAACAACAAAACAAACAAACAAACAAAAAACACCTCAAAACTCCAAAACAAAACAGTATCCACAACAGAAAACTCTCTTTGCTTCTTTCCTGCCTCTCCAACCCCTCTTTATCTGTCTGGTGGCAATGGAGGCTTCGGTGTGCCATATAGTATACCCCTTTGTCCCATCAGCTTCACTGGCAAATGCTCATCGCAGTGAGTCACTGGTCTGACTCGAGACCTCTGGTTTCTGGCACACCATCCTCACCAGATCTTCACCAGAACTCCTCTGGGATATCCCGTGGCTGCCCCTAGTCTTGGAGATCTTGAGGGAATCGTTCCACAAGACCACTCCCCAGGTCCTAGGTGAGGTAGATGCTAGGGTGGGTCAACCCAAGCCCTGGCTGTGGGCCTGGGTGGTCAACTGATCAGTCCAGGCCACTGGGGCCACCCACCTCAAGCGAAGGGGTAAAGTCAGCACTCCTATATGCACACCTTCAGGGTAGGTAGGTTCACCCTTCCCTGTGGTGAGGAATGAGGGCTATTTCTCCAGAGTGCGGGGTCCAGCTCTTGTGCTATAGGGTCCACTGAGAGGTAAGGACAACTTTCCCCAGCCAGCAAGGGACAGGGCCGGCTCAGCATGGCCCTCTGATTACATCTAGCATGATTCCTAAAACCTCCTTAGGTGACCCGGGCCACAGACATCAACACAGACCCCAGCTGCAGCTGGATCACTGTAACACGGGCAACGTCCTGGCTCTGGGCAGAAGGAATGGCCACTCAGATGGGGATGATTCTGGCAGCTGTGACTGCCAGACACCACCAAGGCCTCGGGTTGTGACCCCAATTCTGGACCTCTATGTGACTTTTGGTGGCGATGCATAACCTGGACTTCAGCACAGACCCCAGCCATGGTGGGACCATGGAACTCAGCAGCAGCTGGGTCTGGATGTCACCACTGCCCAGCAGCAATGTGGCCCTTGACCACATGGTCCTCGGCTGTAGCTCTGGCTCCAAAGTCACTGTGACATTGAGTAGCAGCATGGGCCACTCAGATCTGGATGTATCCTGGTCCTCCAACACCAACCTGAGGTGGCTGATATGATCCTGGGCATCTTCATGGCACTCAGTGGCAACAGGAGCCACATACAACTACCCAGACCCTCAGCACACTGGGGCCATGGGCTGGGACATGTCCCTTGGCCACAGCCTGGGCCTGGATGACACCGTGGCCCTGGGTGGGAGCATAGACCGCCCATATCTTCCAATTGGATCTCATGGAGGCATTTTCTCAATTGAGGATCCCTCCCTTCAGATAACTCTAGCTTGTATCAGGTGGAAAGACAAGCCAGCACACAAGGAAAACGCGTTTGTTGGCTGATTTACTCAGGTGATCTGTGTGGCTGCGATGTGCCCTTCCACTGCTATGCTTCATAACTCTCTTTGACTCTTAGGTGACAATAGGCTGAGTGGATTTTTCCAGACACCCCACCCCATTCTCAGCATTTTATCTGTGCTTCGCCTCTGTGTGCTACCTCCAGTATCCTTGAACTTGTGAGAACCTTGGCTCCCTACCACTCCTACCATTAATGTGAGTGGGGTTTTCTTTAGCCAGGCACACCACTTCCATGGTTTTTGTTTTGTGGTTTTTTTGTTGTTGTTGTTTTGTTTTGTTTTGGTTTGGTTTGGTTTGGTTTTTTTTTTTAACTTACTTTGTGTATTGGAATTATCTGGGGAAGAATTTCTTTCTCTTTTTAATTTTTTTATTTTTTAAAATTAAAATACAATTACATCATTTCCCCCATCCCTCCTCCCTCTAACCCTTCTATCTTCCCCTCGCTTTGCTCTGAGGGACAATGTTCAAAGTAGATTCCTGGTCACACAAGGAACATCTCTCTTAATCAAGTACATAAGATAGGGCAGGAAGTCCTTAAACACTTTCTTATCAGGGTTCTTTTAACCCTTTAAAAATTCAATTACTCATCTTAAAGAGTTCACATTTATGAGGATTATTTCCTTTGATATTTATTATTTCCAGGAGCTGAAAAATTATAAATACACTTCTTAATCCATATTAATAAATTAATTGCATATACATATAAGTAAATAACTCAGTTTGGAAACATACAATATGCAAAACAAAGTTGCCAGGAAGACAAGATTGGCTTTGCTTCACAATTTTGCAAATCTGGAAAATGTCTGGCTGGGAGGCAGCTCGGCCTTCCTCCCTGCTGCGGCGCCCCACACGCCGCAGTCAGTTATTTTGAATTGCAGTATATGAAGAAAATTTGGCTCCATATAAATTTCCAACTGACAAAGGGAGCTATCTTAGTGGCCTGCTTAGTAATGTGTTCTTCTTCAATGGCAGAATGAAGCTTAGTGAAGGGCAGCTCCTCAAATGCTGGCTGAAAGGCAGTCTTGGCGTCTGTTACGATAAAACCCACCCATCTTCTCGCGCTATTTTACTCAGGTGTAATTTCAAAACAGAAAATATTTGACACTTGCAAAACAGCCTACCTATGGGCAGTCTAAATGTTTCACGCTGTCAGCGTCACATGTCACGTGACGTCTGTGGGAGAATGAACGTGGTAGACGCAAATATCGTCCTAGCGTTGAAACGAAATGAAGTGTGAATCTGTGGACCTTCCTGTACAACAGGAAGACAGTTTGGTGCGCTGCAGGCTGCACACTGATGAGCTAAGACATTTTGCAGAGATCTGACATCTTTCTGTAGTCTGGTTTTCAACCCTTCAGTGGAAGTTTTATAAAGACTACATAAAAACTTTATAAAGTTTTATGAATCTATGTTTGCCTAGAGGAGCAGGGTTGGCATTTGACAAAGTTGTAGCAAGGAACGGTCCCTCAGGTTGTGTGGTTTTCAATTTCCTCAGTCTCCTTCAACATTCATTCATCCACCCACCCCATCTAACGTGGGACAAACCCTGAACCCTTGAGGGAAACTCCGAAGTTTCCCTGTGACCTCGCTGACACACGTTTATATTACTTCTTACTTCTGAAGCCATTGCCATTAAAATGGGGAAAATGACAATTTCTCACACTGTAGAGCATATTTTGAGTTTCTTCTGTTTTCTCTGTGTGGTTATCTGTTTAGGTGTTGCTAGTATCCCTAAGTATATTTGATGTGGACAAACATTTGTGACCTCACAGAAAACAGCAAAATTAGAAGAACTAGAAGTGGGGCTGGGAAGGAAAATGAGAGAAGGCCTCAGGTTTCCTGGCCACAGTTTTACAAACCTAGGATTCTTGAAACTTTTAGCAATTGACAGCATTTACTCAAAGCCTTATGAGGCTCACCTTGCTGGAGGGGTGAAGAGGAAGAGTCCTCACCAGTCCCTAAGCTTCAGGAAACATACGAATGGCCGCATTGCTTTGCCTCACTCTGGCCTGTCTCCCGTTCTGAGGTATGAGACTGAGTGAAGGGGCCTGGCCGTTCTGCTTGTCAAAAGAATACAAGTGTCGGCCTCACGGGCAATTGTGAGGATTAATGGTGATAATCCTCTATGGAAGCGTGTGCCAGTAGTGAGGGGGCACGGCAGCACCTCACAGCAGTGCCGGCGCTGAAGCCTGTTCCTCTGGAGGCTCTGGCCGCCTCTGATTTAGGCCCACTCTTCCCTGGGACACGTTTTGAATTTTGTTTTATTTCGGGGGGGAGGTGCAGTGGTTGAGGGCAGATGTGAAGGGATGGGGAATGAATGGGATCATTATATATGATTGAAAACCACACAGAACAAATCAATTTTGTTAACAAAAATGCTTTGTTGCAAGTATGAACTGATTACTGTTGTTTCCTTCAGAAAGGCGTTACCTGGATCCAAGCTTTTCTTTTGAAAAGTGAAAATGGTTCTGACCGTTGTCAGTGGACAGTTGTCTTCTTTCTCACGGCACCTGGCGTGTTGGTGAGTGTTTGTGTTTTTGTGGATTACAGACACATATGGGGCCCCAGGAAGGAATGCGTATACAGTATCTCAAGCATGGGACTTTGACAGATTTAGTACCCCTTCACACAAATGTCCAAAGCACTAGCACCTTTTATATATGCTATAGGGTTGCTGTTTACCTGGGGAGAGGGTCCTGGGTCTCTCAGTCTGCACCAACCAGCAGCACTTCAATTCACATCTTAAACTAGAAAGATCATTGCTTAACTTTCTGATCATTATAATATTGTATTTGTGTTAATAAAATGACAATGTTACATAAAACACAACTTCCTTAATTCTAAGATATAGTTTTTAGTCTTTTCCCCACAGGAAAGGGCTTAGTTAGAAACTGACTTTATGATATATTTATTTATCTGTATTTGATAAGGTCTCACATAGAGTCGGTTGAACTCAAACTCACTATATATCTGAAGATGACCTTGAACTCCTGAACTCTGACCTCCACCTCCCAGGTGCTGAGATTTTAAGTATTTGACACTGCATCTGTCTCACGCAGTGTCGAGGACGGAACCCAAGGCTTCATGAGTACTATGCAAGTATTGTACTCACCTGAACTAGTGACAGCCCCTGTTTGATTGTTGATTTTAATGCGATGAGATTTATCAGACAATTTTGGGGTGTGGGGTTCAGCAGAGTTCTCAGGGAGCTCCTGGACACTTCCAGTGACATTGGAGACATTTTCCAGCTCCTCAGAGTAGGCACCCTGGAGAGGAGGGGACTGGTCTGAAATGGTCTCCTTTGGCAGTGAAAATCCCAAAGAGAGAGACCTAAGTGAAATTTCTGCCATTTTCATCCTTCCAGGGTCTGCGGGGCCACTTCTTGTTACTCTGTGAGATGTGGACAGCTGTCATTTACTGTATGTTCCTGTCACCACAGTGCTTGTGTCAAACATATAGAACCGAACAACCACATTGTCCTGCTAAACCATGAGTCAAATGGATCTTTCCTTCCCCCTACCCCCATTGTTTATTATCTTAGTCTCAGCTGTGCAAAAGCAGCCATATCTGTGAGAGATGTCCCAAGTAAGCGTTAGACAAAACGTGGGCGTGGGTCTCAGCAGAGCGACGCTACCCCTAAAACCTCTGCTTCCTTCTTATCGGTCCAGAAAGTTTGGTTCATAGCCCCATTCTGTTCCTTTTAGAACCACCCCTAGATGTCCAGAGACACTTAACTCTCAAATCATGGAAGGAGAGAGTGATGGGGAGACAGGAAACACAGAAGCACCTCTGGGTCCTGTGCAGACGTGTGACTTGGCTTCCAGCGAACTCAAATTCAGAGAGAAAATCGGGACTGTTGTGGCTAGTCCTTCAGCACCGCACAGAGGGGGAAGTGACGTCATGGCGAGGCTTCAGTGGTCTCCGTGAGTCTGTGCACACATTCACAGTGGGCTCATTGGTCTGTGTTTCTCACTCCTCTTCCTCAGCTGTCTTGGCACGTGATGTTCTTTCCTTAGGATTCCACTATGACCAGTTTAAGTGGGTTCTGGGTGTTGGCCAGGGGATTTGGGGATATTTTCTTGCCCTGTGTGAATGCAGATTTAAGTATCTGTGCTAGATGTGGCTTCAAAACCCATCTAGTTTCAGCCTCAAGAGGCTGAATGGCTCCCAGAAACCTGGTAGCACTTTCACGGTGCGCTGGCTGGGAACGGCCAAAGCCCCAACTATTGAAGTCAGAGCCCACATGTTCTCTGGGAAGCCAGTTACAAGACTGACTTGGCGCATTCACTTAGACCTTCAGATCTGCCCCAAGGTCGATACTGAGGACCGTTATCAAATACCACTGCATGTCCAGCACAGTGTCTGGTGCAGTAGGAGCCAATAACTTTTGTTCAATGGAGAAATGGATAAATATTAAAGAATAAAATTTGATATTTCTTCAAAAACGTTATCTTACAAGACTCTGCGACTGTTAGGATTACATCAGTGAGAGCGTCTGGGTATAATTGCGCCAGTGCTAGTGAGTGGCCTCAAAGAAGCTGGTGGTCTTAGCTTAAGGCGTCTCGTTGGAAAAATTGTGCCCATTTCCAGTGTCCAGTATACTTTGAAATTGGGTGAGTGAGAGACTTGAATCACCTGGTCCTCTCTCTGAGGCATGATTCTTTCCCTCCCCTATTGTAGGAATTCTAGACCTGAACAGTCTTCCGTTTCCACAGGGACAGAGTCTCTGAACCCCAGACCGGCTCCAATCTTCAGTCACATATTCCTCTGCACCTGCCCAGTGTAACACTGTCCACACTAGACCCAGGCCTGTCTTCCCAAGCACACACCAAGTTTCTTGTGCTGCCTATCAATGGTCCTATTGCAACGCCGAGTCTTTCACACGCTGTTTCCCTCAAACAACTTCATTGCCCAAGGTAACCGGAATGACCGGAGATGCCTCCATAGCTGGTCATACTGATCAACTGGGTCTGTCACTGGAAGCAGCCCCTCTCTTCATACCAAACTCTGGACGGCATTTCCTGCCTGCCTGCCTTCAAGACTCTTGTCGGCCAGGGAGTCTTCCGACCCAGCGGGACTTACTGTGACTCAGGGCCTCTGCCCCTCTCTTTCCTAGAGTTTCCAGATTTCCTTGATGGCAGCGGAAGGAAGGTAAGAGGAAGCCAGGGAAGCAGGCGGTGAAATAGAGATCTGGTCTGAAGCAGTACACACGCCTGAGGTCCGGAAAGAATGCACTCAAGAAATACATTCGGAAACAAAGCTGGCTGGCGTCTTGATAAAGTGGATTTCGTGGGAGCAAAGGTCAGGGTGTGAGGGGTTCCTGGTGGCTCTGAATGGTGAGTCTATTGGCCAGGACTGAGGAACGAACGGTGACACACTGTCAGGTTGTGGATCTGAAATTTCCCCTCCAGGGCAGGGTTGTAAATGTTTGTCCCGTAGCTGGTGGCATTCTTTTGGCAGAATTTCCTTTACTTCCTGCCTCCTTTTCTCTTCCCAACTGCTAAGTGGAGACCCAAGTAGGTGCTCTATACTCCAGTGTCTGTAGAATATGACCTGGGGACTGTCCACCGTCCCTCCAGTGCACCGCCGACCATCTGTCCAGACTATTTCATTAAAGGTATTGCAAATCCTTAGGTTTTCAGCCATGGGGCCCTTGTCCATTTGCAGATTCTCAGGAAGAATAAGATCCCCTTTTCTGCATTGTATGGAGTGTGGCTCACATGTCCCAGAGAGAACACAAAGGGTTACACAGTGGCCAGGCTGCCACAGCAAGGGGTGATGAGACAGAATAAAAATGATTAAGATAAAAATAAAACATAGTATCTAACACTTACTAAGTTCTTAGTAAGTGCCAGGCAGCGCTCCAAGGGTGACACCTTGCCTAATCCTCATGACAGCTTTTATGAAGTGGGTAAAACAGATCCCTTGTTTATTCCTGCTTCCCTGCTAAGAGATCTCAATTTAGTTCATGCCCATGGCATGGCAAAGGAACCGAGAGCAAATACACAAACCTACCGACTCTGAGATGGAGGCCCAAAGAAGGGTTTTGAGACCAATGCCAGAGAATTAGGAAACTGAAGCTAAGAAAGACTGAGGGTGTGGATGGGGGTGTAGCTGAAAGTTGAGGATGTAGCTGAGGGCATAGCTGAAGGTGTAGCTGAGGGAGTAGCTGAGGAAGTAGCTGAGGGAGTAGCTGAGAGTGTAGTTGAGGGAGTAGTTGAGGGTGTAGTTGAGGGAATAGCTGAGCATGTAGCAGAGGGTGTAGCTGAGGGCATAGCTGAGGGAGTAGCTGAGGGAGTAGCTGGGGGAGTAGCTGAAGGAGTAGCTGAGGGTGTAGCTGAGGGAGTATCAGAGGGTGTAGCTGAGGGAGTAGCTGAGGGCGTAGCTGAGGCAGTAGCTGAGGGAGTAGCTGAAGGTGTAGCTGAGGGAGTAGCTGAGGGTGCAGCTAAATTGATGGAGTACTTACTCAACATGCAGGAATTCCCGAGTTCAGTCCCCAGCGCCATGTTAAACCAGATGTGGAGGTGCACTCTTATATAACAGACTCCAGAGGTGGAGACTAGAGAATCAGGAGATAGATCAAGGTCAGTCTTGGATACGTGAGATCCTGTCTTTAAAAAGTTATTTCTTGGGGCTGCCCCTAAGTATGGAAGCAGAGACTTCTGTCTTATAAAAATGGATGTGTCTCTTCACAGTGTCTCCAATATGGCGCAGACTTTAGGTGGTCAACGCCTGTCCCGGGCACAGTAAGTCAGGGAACAGGCGCTTCTGTTGAACAGACGCCCGTCCAGAGTGACGGCCTGTCCTCTGGGATCCTTGCCCTGACACTGTAACTCTTCTACCCACGGCAGTGTGGAGTGAAATCAAAGCATGGAACCGTGGAGTCAAAGAAAGAAGCGGATGAGAAATGGTGGCACCAGCAAGGAGTGCAAGGTTAGCTTAAGGAATTCCTAATAGGGAGACACATTGGTCCACACTTGTGCTAGATGTAAGGGCATGTGCCTGTTCAAGGCTGTGGAGTGAGCTCAGGACAGTTAGTGTCTACTTCTCCCACCTGGAGGTCAAATCAGTCCTTATTACAGCCTCCTGTGACCTGGTCCCATATGGCTGGACCAGAGGTGTCTCCTGAACTGATCGATGGCTCCGCTTGGTGCACCTCATCCTCTCTGCTCGGAGCCCAGTTCCTCTGAGATGGTCCATCACTTTCTACGTACAGTATTGGCTCTCCAGCATCACCCTTTCCCAGCAGCTCCCACACCAGCACCAGGGGATTCTTTCCATGTCTGTGACGTCATCCTGTACGCGTCTCTGCACAGCTGATCCGGAAGCATCTACACTCCAAAGCTGAGGCCTCAGTAACTCCGTAGCTGGTCGAAAAGACACAAAGAAATTGAAAGAAAAACCATGCTTTTAGAATCCCACCAGCAAATTATCACAATTGCTAAGGGACTGTGAGCCCTTGCTGCGTTCTGTGTGGTTTCCCAGACCTGGACATTAGACTAAGCATTGCTACTCCTGTTTTCTGTCCGTCTTGTTTTGTGTGTGGTGTTTGCTGTGACCGGAAGGAAGGCAAATAATCTCATACCCAAGCTACAAGAACCTACAGCTGGCAGGCTGTTCTGGGATTCTGTGGGTGGAAGGGTCACTGTATTTCTCTCAGAAGTGTAGAATACAGAGCTGGGGAGATGGCTTGGTGGGTACAAGTGCTGGCCATGAGTACACGATGACCTGAATTTGCTCTCCTGATCCCACTGTGGGAGGAATGAACTGACAACTGGAAGCTTACCTTTGACCTCCACATGCGCTCACATTTATGTTCACGCACACAAACACATAATACTAACAAAGTAAAAATTTAAAAACGTCGTGTAAACTAGCACTGTGCCCCTGTGAGTTTGCAGTGGCACACAGTTTGGAACTCTCCAGAACCATTAATTTCCATGTGTCCAGTATTCTCCAAATAGTGTCTATTGTGTCTAATGCAATGACACGGGCAGACACAGTCTGTGTCTCATAGGTCTTAGAGGTGAGCAGATGAGACCAACATTATTAATCAGATAATCTTACTATTAAACATCTGCATCCCTGCTCTTCACACCTATGATGTTTAGGGAAGGAAAGGTGAGTGGTGGCTTCAGGAACCTCGTGCCAAGCCAGCGGGCAGGGCACAGGACTTCCAGAACTCACACTACAGGGGAGTTGTCACTGGCCTTTTTACCTCTGATCCAGAAGGACCAGATATCCTGACTCTGGGCTCCAGGCTGTAGCCGGAGTGTGCGCCATGGGCCCAGGGCTCCCTCTAGTGGCAGCAGTAGTTCTTAACTTACTCAACTCTATGGGGATAACTGTCAATATTGGTCCTGTCTGTGGACTTTTTCGTGGAGCCATGGCTCCCCTGAGGCCTTTATGAAAATCTCTTCATTGTTGATCTCCAAAGACTCAGGTCTAGGACAGAAGTTCAAAGTCATTTGATCCTTTTTTTTTTTTTTTTACAACCTTTACATATGCACATGGACCTACCTTCCTTTCCCCTGTTTGGGGTCCCAAGCCACACCAACCCTGTTTGGGTTCCACCACTCTTTGTGAGCAGGCACATGTGAGAAAGGCTAGGAGCCGTGAAGTGATGGATATCAATAGAGATTGCACTACTATTTCCTGGCTTCCCAGACCCAAATAATCTCACAGAAACGATATCAATTGCAATACTGTTTGGCCAATTGCTTAGGCGTATTCCTAGCTACCTCTTACATCTTAATTGAACCATTTTTATTATTTTATATTTTACCGCAAGGCTCATGGTTTGTTACCTCTTGCTTCTTGGGTGGCTACATGGTGTCTGCCTGACTCTGCCTTCTTTTCTCCTCTATCTATCTATCTATCTATCTATCTATCTATCTATCTATCTATCTATTGGATTTCCTGCCTTGCTCTGTTCTGCCCTGCCATAGGCCAAAACAGTTTCTTTATTAACCAATGGTAATAAAACATTCACAGCATATAGAGGGGAATTCCACATCAAAAGGGATCACAAGGAGTGCTTTCTGCCCTCCTCTCAGGATGGTATTTTCTTTGTTCTGTTTCTCTTTGCCTCATGAAGGGACGGAGGAGACTGCTGAGCCTTTCTTGGGTGTGAGCTACAAGATCCACTCTGGAGCCAAGTGCAAAGGTCCTGTGCCCGCTGAGGCCCATGACAGACCCTTTGAGAACAAAACCACAGTTCAGAGCAGAAACTTTCTAGAAATATAGAATGTGCAAGCGACCACCTCCCCTTAGACCTGTCATGGCAACGACTGTGTCAACAAGGGGGCAGACCTTCAGGGTTTCTGGGTCACACTATCACACAAAACTATAAAATGTTATTAGATAGTATTTAAAATAATTGTATAATAAAATATATAAAAAGTAGGTAATAAAACAGTAAAAAGCCAACTTCTCTGACTACAATCCAGGGTCCTTCTTATGCTATCTATGGGTAGGTTGGAAGGCTTGGGAGTTTCTGACCAGAAAGAATCCAGTGCCGGATTTAGAAGTGTGTGTGTGTGTGTGTGTGTGTGTGTGCCTGTGTGTGTGTGTGCCTGTGTGTGTGTGTGTGGTACTTACATCCTGGGGTAAAACATAGAAAGCAAGCAAACGGAAAGTCCATGACTGCAGGCATTCAGATATGAAGGCATTTGCTGACTTCTGTGGAGATGAGGAACAGTGGGCCAGCTAACCAGACGCGCTATCAAAGGTGCTAGGTGAGCCCTCCAGCAGTTCTCGGCCCTCCTCACGCTGCACTGCCACCCTTTAGCACATGTGTCAAATTTCCTCATGTGGTGACCCCAACCACAACATTATTTTCATTGCTACACCTTAACTGTAATTTTGCTACTGTTATGAATTCTAACAAGGGGGTCACGACCCACAGGTTGAAAAAACCTCTCTAGGATGAATCGTGCTTCCTTAAAATCTACATGAAGAGCCCCCACCTTCCAATAACTCAGAATGTGACTGTATTTGGAACTGGAGACATAAGGTGACTATAATAAAATGAGGTCAAGACATGGAATTAGCCCAGATGCGCCTGGTTCCGTCCTACAGGGTGAGATCAGGACACAGAGAGACACACGGAAGGGTGACACAAACATGTACGGGGACACAGAAGGAAACACCGCCTCTCAGTCACGGAGGCCTCAGGAGAAATCATGTCCTCCCACACCCTATTCACCAGGCTTCTAGGCTCCAGCACTGTAACTAAAGGAATTTCTGTGACTCAAGTCTCCCCGGCTATGGGTCTTTGCTATGGCTCCCAGAAAACAGCCACCCCGTGCTTCAAGCTTTCCTGACAGTCTTAATGATGGTGATAACAGAATTCAAAGCAGTACCAAGTGGAGCAAAACAGGGATTCCAATTCAGACGACCCTCACTGTGGAGTGAATTCTCACTGTGTGCAAATGACAAATACTACTTTTTCCACCCTGGCTGTTTCAGATCAATGGCTTTCAAAGGCTGTTAAAGAACCCAAACATTATCACTGTATCAAGGACCCACATTGTAAACCCCAAGGAACCAGGAGGGATTTCTGCCCTCCTGGGAGATTACCACATGGTGGTAGGCCTCACTTTAAAGGGAATTCTTCATTCCAGGGGCCTTGAATGCAGCCCATCTTGGCTGTTCTGCTCACGGCTGAGCTCACATAGCCCTCTTCCTGCTGAGGCAGAACGAGAAAAGGCCTGACTTCCAACTGTGTCTGTCTTTGAAAAGATAGTAGTTTTGTGTAATGTTTTCCTCTTTTGGCTTTTTGGGGTGGCTCACCATCCAGCCCCTAAATAAATCACACATGAAGGCTTAATTCATATGATTCTTAATCATAAATGCCCAGCCTTAGTTTGGCTTGTTTTTTGCCAGTTTTTCTTAGTTTAAATTCTCCTGACCACCTTTGCCTCTGGGCTTTCCCCTTACTACTGTGTATCTTACTTTCACTCCTGCTCTGTGCTGACTGCCCAGCCGACTGGCTGACCAGACCCTGGCATCCTTCTTTGTTCTCTCCCTTGCTCCTCCTATTTATCCTCTCTGCCTGCCAGCCCCGCCTGTCCTTGCTCTTGCCTCGCTATTGGCCGTTCAGCTCTTTCTTAGACCATCGGTTGTTTTAGACAGGCAAAGCATCACAGCTTCATAGAGTTAAACAAATGCAACATAAACAAAGGCAGTATGATGATCTTTACATCATTAAACAAATGTTCCACAGCATAAACAAAAGTAACACACCTTAAAATAGTATTTCCCAACAAAGCAGGCCTTTTCAGGGCACCTGGGCTCACCCAACTTTTTTCCTCTAGAAGACCATTAGCAAGCTACAACCTTCCTTCAGAGCCTGGGAGAGAAACAGCTTTTAAGAAAAAACAAGGTCTTTTGTCCTTGACAGAAAAATCAACAGTGAAGTACACAAGAAACAGAGGACAAGCCAGGATCGTGGTGACCTACCACCTTGCTCACAGTGAGAACGGGGTGTTGCTGCTTCTGTTCAGTGGCCAATCAGGAGTGTTGAGCAGCCAGACCACATGAATTAGGTTTAGAGCTCCAAGTCAGGGCAGTGGTTGGGCTCTGACTTCCGTAGACTAGACTCTATATCAACTCAGAGACATCTTAAGATAAAGAAATGAAGAACGCATGGCCTAGTTTCCTTCCACCACGCTCTTGGCAGAGTTCTTTACATGCACGTGGAGGCCACATGTCAGTGTCCGGCATCTTCCTCCACTGTTTTCCACTGTGTTTTTTGATATCCTCTTACAGAACCCAAAGGACACCAGTTTAGGTGGATTGGCTGGCTAGGAAGCTGCAGGGATCTTCCTGTCTCTGCCTCCCCAGCATGTGTCATCATGCCCAGCTTTTTTAAAAACTGGATTTGGAGGAATCAAACTTGACCCTTAAACTGGCATAACAAGCCCTTCATCTACTGAGCCATCTTTCTAACCTCCAAAAGATAGCATTGGTGTATTCTAAATAAGGGCATTGGCAATACATATCTGAACAAATTAGACAGGTTTTCTTTAGTGCCTAGCTTAGCTGTATTGAAACAGAATATGTGTATGTGTGTTTGTGTACATATATTTAATATGAGAGCTTAGGGAATGAATGTATAAAATGCTCTGCTCTGCATAGAGTCTGGTGGAGCACACAGTGCCTACTGCTTTCTCATGGTAGTCATTGTTAAGATGTTGGGACTATTGCCAAGTAAAAGCCTGGGCAAATTTAGCATGGTGAATCTCACAGGACAAAGAAGACAAACATTAACAGATGGGCAACACAGGACAGAAAGGAAGCAGGGTTGCAGCTTCTGCCCATTTTTAGATGTGCTCGAGGCAAATGGGCTCTTCCACCCTTCAGTGATCTTCCTATGTTGGGTGTTTTTCTCACCATTTTGACAGAAGGAAAGGAAGGTGTATTTTTGGCGCAGAGTTTGAGGGTGTTGTTCACTGTCGTGGGGAAGTTGTGATGGAAGGGGTGGAAGGCAACTGGTCACAATGCAGTCACAGTCAAACAGCTGGTCACACTGTAGTCACAGTCAGGCAGCTGGTCACATTGTAGCCACAGTCAGGCAGCTGGTCACATTGTAGTCACAGTCAGGCAGCTGGTCACATTGTAGTCATAGTCAGGCAGCTGGTCATGTTGTAGCCTCAGTCAGGCAGCTGGTCACATTGTAGCCACAGTCAGGCAGCTGGTCACATTGTAG